CCGCGGAACGGACAGTCAAGTGATGTGCAGTGACGGCGGAGCAGGAGGTGGGATTTGCCACCGCAGGAATTTGCGCATAGAGATGCTGAGTGAAGGCCTTGTGGGGATCGGACGCTAGAGTGATAGTCTGTACGGTGCCAAGCTGGGTGGCCTGTGAAGTTAAATGAAGACCGTTTGGTGGGTGAACTTGAGGTTGTTGTGAAGGCTGTTGTTTTTGCAGGACGCTGAAAGCAGTGTGAGGTGCAGACAGAATTGACTGATGCTGTTGATGGTGGTGATGATGTTGTGGTTGTGTGAATTCTCCCTGACTGCCAACATGTCCAATTACGGAGGGAGCGACGATGACCGTCTGAGAGATGGGAAGAAGGATGTCTGAGGACACCGAAGAGGTGATAATGTCTGAGGGTACGGCTGAAACAGGCAGTTGTGCATAACTGTAGGACTGCTGAGAGGGTAGAAGGAAAGTCGAAGTACTGACAGTAGATGGTAGGGTTGAAGTCACAGAACAGGCTGCGGAGCAAGGCTGACTGGTCCGTACGGTGTAGTTGACGGTCTGGGGCAGGTATACATGACCATTTATGGGGGGTGACTGCGTTGTCAACGGAAAGTCAAGGTAGGCAAAATTTTGAGAAGTCACCGAGACATGGGGCGGTGGTGGTGGGGGTGGTGGTGGTGGTGGGGGCACCGATGCTGGAGGGGGTTGATCCGCCGGCTGCACATTTAAGTGGCGAAATTTGCAAGTTGCACCCCGATGACAGTTGTGATTAAGGTAGTCCTGCAAAAGGCCAACAAAAACAGTAAGAAACAAGTAGGCATTCAGAAAGGCATAATCTGGGTTCAAATGGCTGGGTTTTATCCTAAGAAAGTCAAAAATAATACTGTTTGGACTGCATAACCACCTTGTCCTTCCCCCCCTTTAAATATGTAAGTGTCCAGACTACCTTGAATAAGCGTGGCCGTTAATCCCCTCATCTCCCTGCCACTATATCACATAAATATTCCAATCGAGTATCATTTGTTGATATCCCAGTGGTACCTACCTCCCAATCTTTCCTAGACTCTTCCCATTGAATCGCCTTTAAATTGAAATGGAAGAGTGTATTCAATTCCATGGAGGAGACGAAGAAGTAAGGAAGGAAGTTATAAACCGGTCCAACCGCAATGTATTTGAAAAGCGGCGAATGTTTGGTGCGAACTCGCAGTTAGGGGCTATCCACGAACAACTTTATTAATGAAATGCAGACGACTGTTAGAAGGTACACCAGACTACCAAGAACCTTCTCTAGCGTATAATATATTTCATGTAGACGTTTTTATACTCCAATAAGGGCTGTGATACAAGCGTGTTCTTTTGCATGCATACAGAGGGCCTTCGCGTCCGTGAATATCGACTGCTTTGCAAGTCTTGTAAAAATGCAAAGCGCATCTTTTTCAAAGAAAAAGTATAAATTCGGAGGTCCTTCTTATGGTGCTTGCCGCACACTTTTCGCCAGGTAAGAACAGCCTCGTCTGATAATTTAGATGGCCATCCATTACTGATTGCACCTTCTGGTTATGGACTGAGCACACCCAAAACAGTAGAGTGACCACGGTCATTCGGGGACGCTTGCATTAAAAATGAATCCATCGTCACTGAAGGGAAACAGCAGTTTTGTAGAATAAACCTCTTGGTTAAACACTGACAAGGCTTGTCCTTGCTGTTCATATCTCTATTTGGGGTTTGTTTTTAGTTGTGCACATTTTGGGGACGTTGCCATTATAGGAGGCTTTCGGTGGATCATGACATACCACACGGGCTTCGGTAAATGCTGCAATTGGAGTGAAAGACGTTATTACATTTGGAACTTTTTACGTTCGTTGATGGTCGTGATCGCTGCTTTCACAATCGACGCTACTGTACCCCATCAACAAAAACCTACTGACGCTAAAGAGCAGTGCCAACTACATGTGGCATCATGATCTACCTGTTCCAACGGTTGTTGAGGTATGGTTTTCGTGATCGGCGCAGGTTCAATGAGTCACCAATTTGGTGAAAACGCACGCGCATGTCTTTTGCTTTACCATCCAAAACTGAAACTCAGCTTACACAACAGGTGCCTGAATGTTTGATGCTCTAGGGAAAAACGAGTGTGATCTTGTCTAGTTGAAGAAAGATGACCGGTTGGTTTATAGGGTCCGAGTGGAGACGGAGGCAGTCGCCACATAAAGGTTTTCTAAAGTATCCTGGTCAATGCAACAGCAGTGATGGACGAGCTCTGTCAGTCGCTGCGCCCAAACCCCGCTCGGACAGTGGACTGATGCCGGCGGGTGGAAAGAGTGAGATCGACCGTCTCAGCGCATATTCTTCACTACAAACAATTCGACACGGTTGAAACTATCATGGTGCGCTCAAAGCCGTGGCTAAGAAGGCTGCCAACTGACGAAATAAGTTGGACCTCGCAGTCAGCTCGGTGTTTGTGTGCAGTGGCTCACTGGTAAACTGAGGGTCAAGCTGTAATGACTCCTTCTTAATGTGGGCTTTATGACAGCTGGAATCCGAGTCGTTCCCTTTTCTTTAAGTGTGAATCGTGGTAGGTTGTGCGTAGAAAAAAGCCTATGGTGGCACGCCTCGGAGCATGTTCGCGTCACGTTAGCCCCTTGCATCCCGTTCTGCCACCGGTCTTCTGGACTCTATGACAGCGGGTCCGGCTGGTGAGTGTAGCAGATGCTACGCGAGTCTGTTTTACTATCAACAAAATTACACACAAGTCACTAAACCTATGCCCCCCTTTTAGTGGGTCACATGATGGACATTGTCGGCAACGACAGTCGAAGTGTCAGCTCGACAAAATTTCGAGTTGGACAGTAGTTTCAAAATGAAGGTTTTTGGAGCAGAACATGCCGTATCCAATAGAAAAAAGGATGACTGCAAGTGTTTGGCATGACCGATTATCTTCTACCTTGCAAAGCGGAACTTTTAACTCGGATGACTTCTCTGCAGAGTGTGAAGAGGACAAGTTCGACGGCAAGGAACCGCTGAGACGATATGCTTCTTCTTCCTCTTTTGTTACGTGGAAGAACTTGCATGCGGGACGCCGACAAGCTCCGTTCTGGTAATCATGGCAGAAGACAACTTCACCTCGATCAGCCCTACAAAAAAAGGAAATTTGTACAAACTTTGCACTGCATTATACAGTAAGTAATGTAACTAGTGAAACGCGAAATGTTAGGACTTGACCGAGTTGGCCGAAACATGTGTCCTTAAACCCGCTTCTCATTCACTGATGGTCTACGTCCCTCGTCGCACCCTGTGCCCACGTGCTTCGGGTCCCATTTCCTGACCCCTTGACCTCGGTAACTGCCTTCCCATTCGTTGACGCATTGCAATCTTTATTCCAGTGCCCTATTTCACCACTTCCCACGCTTTTTGTTCCATACATCGTGTTTTTATTCGCTTCTTCGTTTTTTGCGTTTCTGCCCTGTGTGCATATTCCCTTATAAACTGGCAGCAACGCGTCTGCGTCATTGACACGACTGCTCGTCTAAGCACCTCGAATGTAAGTCCACCTTCCCTTTGTTTTCTACTTCGCATTTTTCTACCCATCGTGCACTGTTAACCTTATTGTTTATTTCAGTAGAACCACATCGAGTTATCCTGAATGTCCATTGACACATTAAGAATATCCGAATTAGCCCGACTGTCTTTGACATAACTACTGACCTCGAGTGCGTCTATTCATGTGACGAAACTAGCACTGCAATACGAAAAGTCAACAGTATTAACAGTTATCTTGTAGATTGAAAAAGTTGACAAAGTTCGGCGAGAATAAACTTTACTTTCCACTTGGTCCAATTCCCATACTAGTAACCACCGCCGACACATATACGCGTTTCTGTGTGTTTTTACAGTAGAAAGTGCTAATCTAGTGGAGAAAGTGTTTATAAAAAAGTCAAGGTCAACCGAACAGCTGATTTTTAGACGCGCGTAAGTCGGGTTGGGCAACATGTGAACGAGCAGGTTCCTCCCAAAAATCGAGGTTTCGTATTTGTTAAAAAGTCCAATGCGTGAATTTATGTAATTTTTTGTTTCTAGTACCAGCGCTAACACCTACAAACTTTCTTTTGTTTCGAAGTGCGTAATGTTCAGACACACAAATATTGCATAAGTAACAGCGGAAGGACCCGTTATCAAGCGTCCGTTTTAACTTTTGACCAGAATAAGTACTTTTTATGCAGTTGAGTTTCTGGAGATACGTAAGTTAGGAACAGGACGGGCAGTGTCAAAAAGTTGAAATATACTGTAGTAATTATACAGCTGGTTTCTGGTGCATTTACAATAGTAGAATGGACACTAGGAGAAAGCAAACATGAGTAACATATTCTCAAAAGAAAAGCGCCGTCAACATGTTTCCATTCTTTTTTTCGCAATTTCTTTTAGTATCTTTAAACGTCATTGCAATGCCATCACAGCTACGATCGACTCCGGATTATATTATATTCCCGACGATGTAGCCTCGAAGCCAGCGCAGCACATGACCGAATAGTTTAATTTGCTGAGTCGGAGAACAGATTTAAAGTATCATTGAACGAATAGCAAAAGGTGCATATAGTATCTGCCATTCGAGTGGCAGGATAGTCTTAACGGAATCCTTGAATTGGTACAGTCCAACCTGATGCCGATTCCAGAGATTTCCACACAGTCGGAAGGCCAAGCGTCTGGTTGATCCAACAGTCGACTGACTCCTTTGTCCAGCTAGCAGAAACAGCCGCCCAGAGTAGCAGAAATTGTTGACTAATCCAAGAGATACCATACTATTGGGTAACTTCTTTTACTGGACCTTGCGCACCGCATTCACAAGTCAAAATAGACAAGACTGCATACCATTCTAGGTCTTGGTAACCAACAATGCGGGTACTTTCGGGCAGCCATTTATCTATGTTGCCAATTTCCGACGTTAGGTCTAATAAGTATGTGTACTAAGAGTAAAAAAGCAGTATATCGTGTGGTCGCCTTGCTAATACTGTAAAATAGGATATTTAAATTCCTGTCGGAAAGCAGTTCTCTCGATGTGCGGTTGTTGGCGCTCACTTCGTAATGAGATAAAAGACCTGATCATTGAATGATGGTGGTCTGCGGCTGTGGTCATACTAGAACGACAATTTGGCATACTGTAGTGCTTCTTATTACAATCGGCCTCTTGTCATAGGCGGCCTCTTTATTCACGTAAGAAAAAAACAGCGTTTTGCGCTGACACGCGCATCGCAACAATTGTGGCGTTCACAGCGGCACCATAAAAATGTAAAAAAATAGACGTAGGTGCACCGACTCTTAAAATATAAGAGTGAATTTAGGCAGAGCACTAGAAGTAGATCTGGCGTTTTCAACCGGTTACCAATTACATTGCTCAGGGGTAGAGATGGCGAATGTTTTTTTGGCGTATGGTCCCTTATCGTTGTGTGGGACATGATCTAGCGGGTGTAACTCAGAGAGGCATCTAACATGCACACTGTACTGCGTAGACGCTCACATTTTTATGTTCTGCCTCATCCAGGCAAGAACGGTTCTTACATTGCCAAATTTTTTTGCCTAACAAACTAACCTGAACATTAACGACTGGGCAGATCGACCAAGGTCTGGATACATCAATTGTTAAAGAAACCAAAGACTCCGCCGAAAAATGTGGCCGTGGAACGTGCATAAACATAGGAATTTTGCGATCTTATACTAACTGGATCCCTTAGCAATTGCACGAAAAACATATTTAATTGTGGTTCCTAAGCAATACTTCATACTACAATCAGTGGACTGCGGCATTGTATAGAGGAGCCGGTGTAGAACAAATAAACCCTCGGCATGCCTGTAACATTACCCCCGGTTTGTGACTGCTTACTCGTTCGATGCAAATCTGCTTATTTCGAAACTAGCTTATCTGTTACGGGGATATGGTTGAAATGAAGGAGGAATCAATGTATTACATGAAACGGAGAGGGCAAAAATGATCTCTGCTATCGCACGAACCTTAAAGAAAACTGTTGCTTTCTATGGCTAATAACTGCTCATCTAACTGACACCGACGACGCTCTCGAATCAATTAACCGCGATGTTCTTTGAAGAAGCAAAGTAATTATATGCCACCTGCTCAGTTCTAGAAGTACGCTCATGCGCATTACCGTGCACACGAGTGAAATTTGAAGTTCAGTAAGGATAAAAACCGACCAGTTTTTCACCCCAGTACTGAACAGCGTTAGTCTCCCCGACCGACTCCATACCAATGCGGAAATGATCACCCGATGACGCCCCGAAAACCTGTCAGCAGAACTGCATCACTGACCTTGGCTTTAATGAAGACAGCTTTCTTTTCTTGCACTCGCACCGACTCACATGAACCTTCCAAACTCGACGATTAGGTCTACCTGTAGATCTAGGTCTACCTCTGGAATCATAATTGACGATGCCTTGGTCTTCCAATTAAAGGCGAGCATCTTCAACTGGCAAACCACTTCAATCCTATGGGTTCATTTTTTCTTTCTAAATGATGATGTATTCCAGAGGGCACTCATGAGATCAAGCAAACTCAGATCGCCTACGTACAGCGGAATCGCAAAGCAAGATCCTTGAAATGATTTATCTCGAAAAAAACAGATCGCATGGGTAACCGAAGGATTTGTAATAACTCCGATTTTAGTCGCCGTCGCTTTTAAATGCTACTGCCAAAAAAACATGGATATCTCTGTGAGAGGTCACACCGATTAAATAAGCATATCCGATGCCAAATACTTCATTGGTTTGCCAACTACCGCCAAAAGCCAACGAACTTGCCTCAACAGATCATCGAGACGTCTCGGCTGAGCGCGACAGAAGGCATGGATCAAAGTTATGCATATGAATACAAAGGCTACAGTCCATGCGATTGCCTATATTTTTCGTACATGCGACTATAACTGGCCTGTAATAATCTAAGGCATAGCCGCCGACGATATGAGGGGCCACTAGTTGAAGTTGCATGGGTCATCTCAAAAGCACTGGTTGAAAAGGTAAAGATAAATGGTAGGATTAAAATGTGTCAACATGGAGTCTATTAAGGAGCCTCTTAAGGAAATATTACACAAACTGACAAATTATGAAAATGCAGAAATGGGGGCATAAGAACCAGAAAGAAAATCAGGGACTTACCGAAGTCTATCACATTCTTCTTGGCTCGGGTGTTTAAACTTGCACTTTCTACCACGTTTACAGACATGTCTTAAATAGTCCCGACATATAGTTGCATCCAGATTTGAAAGATCTTGACTGTTTGAAAGCCATTCGTCCGATTTGATCACTTCAAAAGGTGAAGCGAATGCATCTGACTGCATCGCTAAAAATTTTGGAGATGAAACTTTAATAGTTAAATCGTAAAGTGTGGAAAATAATCTATAATTTTATAGGAGTCAGGTAACTTGGGTGTTTTCTGTGGGATATTGAGAAGGCCTAAGTGAAAAGATTGAGATTTATCCATCAAAGTTATAATTAGAGGAGATCGGATTCATTCATGTTGCGAAAGAAAAATTTGGCAATTCAATGAAGCAATCATACCTTTAATTGATTATACCATATCCAATTAAGATGTCAGAAAAGTGAATTGATTTCTGGGAGTTTATTAAGCACTCAAACAAAGTATGATAATAAAAACTAACCCCGTTTCCGTTTATGGCCGTGCTCATTCAGAAATTATATCGTTGACTTAACTCTCAATCAAACCAGTATTTGCACTTATTGAAAATACGATAATAATGACGCCTCCTAACTTCAGCGGCTAGAGCTTGCCGGAAGACTTCATCATTGCCAACTCTTATCCGCTGCCGATGAATATAACGGCGAGACTGTCTCTGATTCTGGCAAATTCCATCATCTCGTTTTACCTCCCATGCAATATAATTAATGCCCTGTTTTTGGTTACTAATTCTTTCCGATTTTATGCAAATTTGTTCATACTCTCAGATGCGCGTGTTTTAATGCCCTTTTTGTTACAAGATACTCATTTTAGAACCCGACAGTGGATAAGTTTCTTAGGCTGAGACGATTTGGTGTCGATCCAAGTGCTTCAGATGTTTTCAAACAGTGGAACCAGTGGTTTCGCACGTTTAACAGTATAAAATCTGGCTGCTAATCAAATTAATTGTATTAAGCCAGCTTAGGCTTACGTAAATGAGTGGATAATAACAGAAACATTTGCATCGTCGAAATCAGCAATTCCCTCGAGAAATATCATTCCTTGGCACATACGGCTGAAGGCTACCCCACATCCACAAACAAATACCTCTTGCCCAAGCCTGGGTCGTAAAGTTACGATGGCCTAACACAGTTGACATTAGTAAAACGGGGACTGGACATTTTTTGCCTTCTATGTTGGAGCAGAAGACGGGGGCAAATAATCATCAGAGGCCCACAATCCGCAATGCAGTTGAAATACTTGTCTCATTCACTCATAGGCACCAAAATGACTGGATAAACTCAATAACACCAAAAGCAACTGCCCAAACAGAATCTACTATCGATTATTCCTCTGACTAAATCCAGAGCACGACAAATTCGCCTGCAGAGGATTACTGTGAATATTGAACTTGTATGGCTACTTTGATCGAGCTAGCCCTAATAGTTACAATCAGACGAAAACGGTCTACTAAGACAACAAATTTATGGTAAGTCCTCATAACTGAGTGAATGCCCACACGATAACGGGGGCAATATTGCTGTTCATTCAAGCAGTGTCTCAAGTTAGTGTGAGCGTTTCGAATGTCTCAGCTTCGATCGTTAAACATCCACCACCCCTCCTCAGGAGCGAATTTTAGTTTTCTTCGGCCGATGTAACTTGATCCTCCTTCCAGAGTAGAACTTACTTATGTAACAGAAAGGTCGAGCAACAGGGTGCTCGAAGAGAACTAACAGTGCGTAATCTGGAAGTCCTTTATCGGCATAGGTATCTAGGCCCTAAAAGGAGTTAATGAAACACTAAAGTACGAGCAGTGGTTTGCTGACTGAAGTTTGGTCAGCCTTGTACTTATTCCCCTAAGGGGTGAAGAAAAACTACGAGAACTATAGCGATATAAACAAAAATAATACTATTCTTAACCTTCGTCGTCAGGCAGTTTCAGCGAGTTTGTAGCGCACGAACGAGACCAAACGCAACTGGGTCCCGAACTGCAAGGGAATAAACAAAGCAATTTTTGAATTCTGTCACGAGTTACAGCAGCCAATTGTCGTCTGTCCTGTGGGTTCTGCTAAGACGCCATAGAGGATAAGCTAACCAATGAGGCTTGGCCGCAAGAACTATTAGACATTCGCACAATGGTGAAAAAATAATAAGCCCTCGTTGCAAATATTTTTTCATGCAACGAAAACTGGCACACCAACGATATCATTGAGGACGCCGAATACTCTTTAGCGAGTGCGTTACTTTATAGCAACCACTTCTCCTAACTGTTAGAAATGCGATTTGGTATTTGACGATGCTGGGACGCCAATTAACTAGCCACAACTATGATGAGAAAATCGCCTTGCTGGCGTCCAGCATTGTGGCGACCTCTTAAAAACAAGAATTTATTGTCGTTGCCAAAAAGCCAGCACAGCAGAACCATCTGCAACAAAAAGGTGCTGGTTAAAAGTTTAGATAGAAGTAAGCAATAGAGAAATCGATGTTATTTTGGGAACTCCTGCATTGGCTTCGCCCAACTAGAAGAGCTAGTAGGCTGAGCCTACTATATTAGTTGAAATAGACCATCGTAAGCAGAAATTAACCGTGATATAATTGAGGCCCGCTAGATTTTTTGTGATATCAGGCATATCAAGTACAAGAGTGTTGAATAAAGCCAGGAACATATTAAAGCATAAAAAGTGGAGATAACACTTGATAGACTGTAGGATTAACCCATTCATGTAAACGCCTAACAACGCATTCGAGTAGGTTCGTCAGTAGTAAATACTCGCAGAAACCAGAGGTTAGTAAATCATGGGCATACTGACATAAAAGCAATAATAAAGGCAAATATGAGAATAATGTTATTGGTGAAATAGGACCATCCCATGAAGCTGAGGATATCATGTCCAAGGATATCTTAGGCACAGGCCTAGCTGTATCCCTGACTGCTCTAGTTGATCCAATGACCTACGTCATTGTTTGGAACGGCATACGCGAAATCTTCATTAATGAGGCAGAAGTGGTCACCTAACAACTTCATTTCGTTTCTTTTTGGGTTTCCATTCTGTAAATTTGCTAGAGTTGCTAAAGCACTCTTGAGTACCATTAGTCGTGTAGAAAAACAAACTAAGAACGCTGCCTATATTTATAAGGCGATAAGCCGGCCTCTATGAGGCGCTAAGATTGCACCAAAGATAACCGGCATTCCTAATAACATTGCACTAGACTATTGGTATCTGTCAGCGACGCAGTTTTGGTAGGACGTAATTCTGTGCAGTATGCCCAGCGGCTCCTTTTCGTACCCAAAGTCAGAAAAATGAAAGACATTGCTGATGCTTAAACGGAAGACTAGACCCACCGTCCTAAGTCGTGATTAAGAGCTTTGGCTAGCCGAATAGGTTGTGGGTCACCTGAGACTTCCACATCGACCGGGAATGTTGAAAACACCTGAAAGCATACAATGTCTCATGCAGTTTTGAGTATCCCATCATTCAGTCAAATGCCTAGTCATACACTATCAACAAAAGCTTGAGCTTATAACTCCTGACTATCTATTGCTGGGGGCTATATTGCCCTAATAACAATAGAATATGCTTTTGCCATTCCGTAATTCGCCATACTGAATTAAATCCCACGCTATATGCTAGACTAGCGCGGGATTCGGTGCAGAATAGTAACCAAAAACTGAAAAAATTTCACAGCAGTCCTAACGAAAGCCAAATTTTTTACGCTCCGGAAAATTGTCTCTGCCAAGACTGTTAAACCAAA